TTGACATCTGACAGACGCCCAGAGCAATTCATGAGGGGCGTGCCGATGGTTGCATGAGCTGTTTCGCCAGCGCTGGTTTCGCCGGCGCTGGTTTCGCCCCGCTTTTTTCGCCGACGGCTGGTTTCGCCGGCGCTGGTCTCGCCGGCGTTGGTTTCGCCCCACTGGTTTCGCCCCGCTGGTTTCGCCGGCGGCTGGTTTCGCCGGCGCTGGTTTCGCCAGCGCTGGTTTTGCCGACGCCGTCGTCTCCGCGGGCAGGCGGACCCTAGCGGGCGGGTCGGGTCGGGTCGGGCGGGCGGACCCTAGCGAGCAGGTGCAGGTCGGGTCGGGCGGGCGGACCTTGATGGGCGGGTCGGGTCGGGCGAGCGGGACATTAAAGTGTGGGGCACGCTCGACCGAGCACGCGCGAACCCCAACGGGCGGGCCGGGTCGGGCAGGAGGACCCTAGCGGGCGGCACAGGTCGGTTCGGGCGGGCGGACCCTGGGTCGGGTCGGGCTGGCGGGACACATAAAGTGTGGGGCGCGCTCGACCGAGCACGCGCGAACCCTAACGGGCGGGTCGGGTCGGCTGGGCGGGTCGGGTCGGGTCGGGCGGGCGGACCTGACGTGCGGGTCGGGTCGGGACGGGCGGGCATTAAAGTGTGGGGCGCGCTTGACCGAGCACGCGCGAACCCTGACGGGCGGGTCGGGTCGGGCGGGCGGGCGGACCCTAAGGGGCGGGTGTCCTAACGGGCGGGTCTTGTCGGGCGGGCGGACCCTAATTAGCGGGCGGGTCGGGTCGGGACGGGCGGGTCGGGACGGGCGGGCGGGACATTAAATTGTGGGGCGCGCTCGACCGATCACGCGCGAACCCGAACGGGCGGGTCGGGTCGGGCGGGCGGACCCGAACGGGCGGGTTGGGTCGAGCAGTTTCGCCGACGGCAGCTGGTTTCGCCGACGGCAGCTGGTTTCGCCGATGGCAGCTAGTTTCGCCGACGGAGCTGGTTTCGCCGACGGAGCTGGTTTCGCCGACGGAGCTGGTTTCGCCGGGCAGCGAAACCAGCCGGGTGAAACCAGCTGGGCGAAACCAGCCGGGCGAAACAGCGGTCGCCCCGATATCGCGACAGCCGGAACAAATCATTCATGGTGTGCCCGTTTGCCCTCCCGTTCCCTTCTACCCCCCTTTGATTGTCGGGTTCGCCATTCCTTCTCCAGGCGATGGCCTTCACCACTCTGGTGGCCATCAGCGTCGCCCCCTCTTAACGACCCCCGCGCTTCGCCTCTATCTGTGGGAATGGCCTTTCAGAACCGCGACCTTAACCCACCTTGCGGTCATCGTGCCAGTTTCCTTGCTGCCCACCCCTGCTAGGTGGTGGCCACCACCTCGGCGACGGCCCTTTGAAATTTTTGGTGTCCAGGGGCCGCCTCTGGTCCCAGGGCAGTCTAACAGCGATTCTGGATGGCAAGCCGATCCCAGGAGCTCAAAAGTGGTATGAAATACAACTCTTTGGAGGGACGTCGAAGGGTTGGGGGCCAGCGACCCGACATGCGCGAATCGTCGACGGCGCGCACATGTTTCTCATATGCGTCAACCTCACTCTGTTTTCCTGGCCAACCGTTGCTTCGACAGCCTTGTATAGCTAGTCCGACGTGACGTCGGCCCCCCATCACGGTGATGGGGTTCGCCCTCCGAACAGTGTATACCTGGGACCCCCGCTATCCTCACCGAGAGCCATCTCACGGTTACCACCTTCGCCCTTCACGATCACTTCCATGACCCCCTTCGTTTTTCCGCATTGCGGGCACCCCCTTCCTGGTCATGGTGTAAGCCAAAACCACGGCCACGCCCTTAAGCTGCGCGGAGGTCATTCATGGCTGGAGCTCCTCTCGCATCATGACCTTTACCCCCTCGCGGTCGCTTCATCGGTGTGTTCCCGGGCATTGGCTTCGCGGCCACTGCCCAGGCCCCGCTTCCACTACCTGCGCTCTGCTCGCGGTCGTGACGTTCCCTCCCCCCCCTTCGACGTCACATTCGTCTCCCCAGGTGGGTGAATGACATACCGTGGTATCGAAGTCCTCCTTTGCCCCTGCGGCAACCAGGCCGTTCCCTTCATGGCATGGACTTGCCTATGGGCATTCCATCCAGCCAATGGCCCGCACCCCTCTCCTGGTCATGACCTTCCCGCACCGGCGAGAACTTTGGCAGTCCGCGGCCAGTATCTGGACGCAAGATCACGATTTGAGGCGAAGCGTAGCGAGCCCTCAAGTTTTGTATACAGGTATACTTTTTTTATATGTACATACAGATATAATGATCTATGGCCAACACTACATTGCGCGTATACGCATTAACATCGATCCGCACATGGTGTGTACCCGTACCGTTTCAATATACATGCATGATGGTGCGCAGGCTGCGCGTGCACGTGGTTGGTATTGGCTATACTTGTACAAAGGGTGGGGTCAACTAGTTAAGCTGGTTCGTCGTCAACGCAATGTGAAAACACGACGGTCCTGCTGGAAAAATGCACGCGTGCAAAATAACCACGTGTCATACCAAGATTGCATGGGCACCGCTATCTCAGACCACGCCTTCACATGGCAGAATAATTCCGCAGATCACATGTGCACCCGATTGAACACCGACGAGAAATCACGCCACCTTCTTGTTCCATCGCGTTGCCATGGACGAGTGCACGCGTGCAGAACGTATCGGTTTTCAGAACGCAACTGCCAGAACGCGCATGTCAAGCAAGTCTTTATTGGGCATGCCTTTTGATATGCAGTGTCTCGCACTGTTGCATACAAGCACCGATCAATCCTGCATGCGTCCATTTCCCCCCTGCAGCGCGATTGAACTACATGGCGTCTCTATTGTTCTTGTTTTCCACGGCGACCTCCATGTTTCAAACATTCGGCCGCGCTCATGTGGCACCGCGGTGGGACAAAGGGGTGCCCGCGCAACAAACGTATGTGACGTAGTGCTGACATTGCGTTGTTTGATTTCTGTGTACAATTCCATTTACCGCGCCATCTTTTTCCATTACAGGCTGCTGGAAGCCCCTCCAATGCCTTGCGGCGTTTCCTACTCGGTTGATCCGGTCGGTATCCCTGCGCTTTTTAGGGCTAGCGCATGATTCACCGATCGTCATTTAGTTCGGCGTGCCCAGGGGTTCCAGCCGGAATCGCATTTCTATAGCTCGGTGATGTAGAAATTGAGCAGCTTGCATGTCCTCTGCCGGATGTTCAAGACATGCAAGTTGCACTGGCTTCGGGGCTTCACCCTCCGAGCTCAAGTGGGTTCTGGAAGCTTGGGGCCAGCCTACACAGCATAACGCATCGCGTTCTCCATTCATCCACCAACAACAAGACACACTGTCTTACATGAGTCTGGGAAACAGAGGACAAAGCATGTCAGTGGATCCTTGATTGCTGAATTTGGGGCTCAATTGGATTCCAGAAGCCTGGGATCAGAAGGAAAGGCGAACCTCAACATACAAAGCAGTTTGCTACGGTGGCTGACATAGAATCCAGCGCGATGAGCATCCTTCGGGTTTGCAAAGAAGGGGGCAACAGTAGGGACGATGCCAAATCTGAAGCAGATGCGAAAGAGGGAGCATAAAAACCAGCACTTAGGAACTCGCCAGTTGGGGGTACGCCTGAAGGGGGCGGGGGGGGTCTGGGAAGTCACCCTGGTCGTCCCCGCCGCCGCTCCCCCTCCCCGTCCCGTCCCCTGCCCCTCCTCTCCCCTCCTCTCCCCCTCCCCCTTCATCCCTCCTCCTTCTCCCCTCCATCCTCTCCCCTTCCTCCTTCATCCTCCCCCCTCCCCACTCCTCTCCCCCTCCTCGTCGCCCCCCCCTCCCTTCCCTCCCTCCCTCCTCTACAGTCCGCAATAGGAATACTATTCTCATCTCTCCCCTGATGACGTCCGGAAGATATCTGGCCCCCCTCCACGTATTGTTTTTTATCGGTTTCCCAGGAAATGGGTTGTCTGTTATTTGTTCAAGAAAAGTTGCTCCCGCTGAAGCGTTGGCTCCATTCTCGGGCTTCCGCTTGCTCCGAATCGTGCTCCCGCAGCGGCGTTGGCCTCATTCCCGCGTTTCCACTCGTTCCGAATCGTGTTCCCGCTGCAGCGTTGGTCTCATTTCCACGCTTACGCTCGTTCCGAATCGTCTCCCGCTGCAGCGCTGGCGTCATTATTTGCAGCGCCATGCTACGGGATGGTCTTCGGTCCTTCCAAATAAGCCCCAACATCCAGAAAATGCGCCCCCGAAAAAACAATCGGAAGCGATTCCACATTCGGTGTCGATTCGTTGGTTTTTTGGGCCGCAGAAGCCCCCCCCCATGTCATGCTACAGGTAGATCTTCAACACCATGCTATGCCATGTAATGCTATGCCATGCTGCGACATCCGACTGTGCGAATAGAGAGGAGATCTACGCCACAGTAAGGGATGCGAGGGAGGGACGGGACGTCAGATGTGACGCGAGCGCACCTGGCTTGCCGCCTATCCCCCTCTTCCCCCCCCATCCCCCCTCCCCCCTCCTCTCCCCCTCCCCTCCCCCTCTCCTCCTTCATCCCCCCCCCCCTCCTCCCTCCCTCACCCCCTCGGCTCAAATCGAGCACCTCTCTGGCCACAGGCTCCCTGGCCCCTCCCAGCCCTGTGCGTTGCCCCTCGACCCTGAAGAAGCGGCGGCTGAGTTCCTCTTCGGCGGAGCGGGTGGTGAGGACCCGTGCTCGCCAGATCCGACGTGAGAGGCGCCCGATTGCTGTGCCGCCTGGACTGCCCGATCACGTAATCCACGTAATCCTTCATTCTCCCCCCCGCCCCGGCGGTCGTAGTTCTTCGCCCCGCTGGATTATTCCCCCTCCTCCCTCCTCCTCCCTCCTCCTCGTCCTCCTCCTCCTCGTCCTCCTCCCTCCTCCTCCTCCTCCTCCTCCTCCTCCTCCTCCTTCTCCGCCTCCTCCTCCTCCTCCTCCTCCTCCACCTCCCCCGTCCTGGCGCGCGCGGGCCGTCCAGCGAGGCGCGCGGCCCCAGGAGGACCCGGCGGCTTTCGAGGACCGCGCGCCGTGGGGGGTTGGCGGGCCAGGCGGCGCCTCGTGGGCGGCGTTGCCGGCGGCGCGCAGGAGAGGCCACAGCAGCACGGCCAGGCCGCATCGTCGAGGAGACGGGGAGGAGGAGGCGGAGGAGGAGGAGGACGAGAAGTAGGAGGAGGAGGAGGAGGAGGGCGAGGAGGAGGAAGAGGAGAGGAGGAAGGTGAGAAGGAAGAGGAGGAGGAGGAGGAGGAGGAGGAGGAGAAAGAGAAGGAGGAGGAGGAGGAGGAGAAGTCGAGGGAGGAGTTGGAGGAGGAGACGAGGGAGGAGGAGGATGAGGAGGAGGAGTACCAGTGTAAACCCGAGAGTCATCAACGATGTTGGAATAAACCCTCCCTCCAAGCTTTCCCTCCATAGGCCCCTGCAACGGTTCATTTCCATTGAAGGAGCTGCCTCTTTGGAAGGCAACCGTTTGAAGACCCTGAAACATGCCAGAACATTGTTCTCCGGATTCCAACGCCACGGTTCAATCTGACAGTTGCGTCTTGACAAATGTGTCAGAACGCCATTCTTGGGATTTCAACACAGCGATAAGCATAATTGTTGCACCCGCATAGTCCTGAATCCGTTCAACACATTATCTCTGGTACGTGGAATACATGAAACTCTGGCAAATTTTGAAAAAATCAATTTGAAAAACGAATGTGCACCGCGCTAAGGCGAGAGCCACATTTTGAAAACCACCCGCCCTGAATCCGTGAAGCCCTAGCTAATGTTTAACCACCAATGTGCGCCGCCCTGGCGAGAGCCACATTTTGAAAACCACCCGCCCTCAATCCGTGAAGCTCTTGCCAATGTTTATAACGAATGTGCGCCGCGCTAAGGCGAGAGCCACATTTTGAAAACCACCCGCCCTCAATCCGTGAACCTCTTGCCAATGTTGACAACGTATGTGCTCCGCGCGAAGGCGAGAGCCACATTTTGAACATAATCCTCAATACGTGAAGCTCTGGCCAATGTTTAAAACGAATGCGCGCTGCGCTCAGGCGAGAGCCACATGTTGAAAACCACCCGCCCTCAATCCGTGAAGCTCTTGGTAATTTCTTAAAACGAATGTGCTCCGCGCTAAGGCGAGAGCCACATCTTGAAAACGACCCGCCCTCAATCCATGAAGCTCCTGCCAGCTTGTTACAACGAACGTGCGCCGCGCTAAGGCGAGAGCCACATTTTGAAAACCACCCGCCCTCAATCCGTGAAGCTCTTGCTATCTTTTACCACGAATGTGCGCCGCGCTAAGGCGAAAGCCACATTTTGAAAACCACCCGCCCTCAATCCGTGAAGCTCTTGCCAATTCTTAAGCTTCAGAATCGTGAATGGTGAGGAAGTCTCAGGTGAAACGCCTGGCCCGCCCTTCAAACTGGCCTCGGGGTGCGACAGGGAGAAGTTATCTATAAGGAAAAAGAATGGAGGAGGAGGATTTTTCAATTGCAGATGCCTTCACCTCAAATGAACCAGACGGCCCCGAGGGCTGACCGCCTAGCCCCGATCATTGTGACCAGGGGCCCCTCTGGACGGTCACGCCGGGGAACTTCGGATGGTGACCTGCCGAAATCGCCGTCCAGGCAGCTGAAGCTCCCGCACTTCGGGGGGCCTTGTTGCATTATTTGGCGAGGTTCCTCACCTGGCCATGGCCTGAGTAGGCCTTGCATTTCAGACACACGACCAGGGTCGCCCCGTCAGAGCATTCAAGTGAAACGCACCTGTGCTGGAGCATCGAGAGGACCTGGGGGTCAAGCTTATGGAGACCCCGACAGTTCCCCCCGGCAGGTTTGTCACGAGACCGACTGACCTTCAACCACCCTTCACAACGCCAGAATTTCGAAGTAAAAATCCAGCGGTTGGGCATGACATCGGGCCTATCACGAGCAGGAGGCTTGGTGCGCTCAACTCCCTCTTCGAGGCGGAGCGCAGGCCAAAGGGGCAGCAGCTTCGCCGCCAGCACTCCTACAGCTCTCGCAACAGCAATGTTCTGGTCGAGGGTTGTCATTTTCTGATCGTCGGGCTGAGGATGGGACCGTGCCGCAATCTTCGCCGACGCATCCACAAGATTGTTACCGATGCACATGAACTTATCATCTTCGCAAGTTGCCTCTGAGACGTCCAAATGCGCCTTCACCTTCCGCACATCAGCGAACGGAAGGTTTTGCCGGACGAACTGGGCACAACCAGAATACATCCTCTTATGTGATGTCTGATTGACCCATGAAAGCGAAACATAATCGTACACATTTAAGCAATCCGTAAAAATAGTGAACCTGGAACTTAAATGTCGAGCAGCAGCAGCAAAGGCATGAAATTCAGCACTCTGGGGAGTTTGGGGATAAGGAGGCCAGACGGGACCCCTGATACGGATAACCTCCTGGAAGGTCTGCCTGTCAAGCAACGTCACGGCCCAGCCTGCTCGAGACAGCTCAGGCACGAGATGTTTGAAGCAGGAGCCGTCGACGAAGAGCTCACCGTAGAAGTCACGCTCAACATCCAAATGCTCGAAGCCTGGGTAAAGCTCCGTGACAACGCCATCTTCGAACAATGGCAAATGATGCCATTCGCCAGGATGGGGAAAGACTCCGAACGTAGCAAGAACATCATCCGCTTCCCCCGCCCACTGCTGCACCTTAGCTGGCACAAGTTCGTCGCGCTCTGCCTGGCAGGCCGGGCAACACCACAAGCGGTGCCTAAGTGTGTCGACTGCATCATGACAGAGCTCGCACACATCACTAACATCATGCCCGAGCCCTTTGGCCCTAGACTGGGTATAAACGGCATGGCAAAACAGGGACCTAATACACCCTTTGTCGAAGGCGGTCATCTTCGCGCTGCGCAGCCAAGAAAGGATCCCCTCCCCGCAAGCCCGGCCAATATTCAACGTAGCTCCGAGTTCCCACTCCAAAATCTTGATGACGGCTCTGCGAAGCAATGCCCGCACCATGGCAGGCGAAACCTGAGTGAGGTGAGTATCGATACCTCGGTCATCACAGAGCACCGTGAAAGAAGGCATGGTCCAAGAAATACGCTCAAGAGACTTCCTCATCGCGCTGACGGGCCCGACACCGACCTCCACAGCCCCGAATCCCGAGAGAACACCGAATGCCAAGCCGATCGCAGCTTGGCGAACGAAGTAGAGAACGGGTAAAGCCGATGGTGGGTGATCCAGACCTCCTTGGCCCAACGGGCGATCGGGGCGACCGCCGCAGTCCAGGTGGGGTCGCTATGGCAAAACAGGAGCGCCGTCAAGCTCCTGCCCTTAGCGCTGGGGCGAAGGGCTTTGCCGGCCATGCGCCGCAACTGCAATAACTCATAATCTGAAACCCCGTGGATGTCGCAACCATACGTGGCGCCTGGGAGGGGGCCGGCAGTAAAAACGCGTTTGCACCGCTGCCCACCGATGGTGGGCTTCAAACGCCCAAGCCGGGAAGTGCGAGCAGACCCTCTCTGCATCCGCTCTTTCGCCTTCGCGGAGCGGCCTTTCACACGGCGGGGACGACCAGCGCAATCGTCCACCCCCAAATTGCCAGCCCAGGAGGAATCAACCACAGGCCCTGCCAAACCCCCAAGAGCCCTAGCAAGACCTTTGCCGAGAGACCTAGAGGAGCAAACCAGCGCCAGCTTGTCGAGGCTGATCCTAGCGCCGATGCCTTCCACGAAGGCCTGATGCAAAGCCGCTGCAGCGGCAGGGAGGTGGTCAAGAATATAACGGGACGTGCCGACGGCCGACAGCCCAGAATCATCAATATACAATTTGAGCTGGATCTGTGGTGGCAGCCTGAGAGAATCCAAAGCAATGATAGCATTGACCCGAATGAACGTGGTCGCCATAGAACATCCCGCGACCACACCCCGAAGGACCCAGTAAGGCCCATCAATGAAACCTCCGAGGGTGAGGAACCGGGCCTGGGAGTACATACAAATGGCAAGATAACCGAGCCCAAGGGGGAAATTCAAGAGATGGCATCTTTTCGCCAAGGTTTGCAAATCCAACAACTCGTAATATTTGTGAAGGTCCGTGAGAAGAGTGGCAGCCTCGTCACCAGAAGCCGCGCTGCTCTCAGCAGCCACGGCCTGGCGCCACACAACATCTTGGGCCCCTTCAAAAGGACCGGCCGAGAAATAAGACCGCATGTGCTCCCGTTCCCACGCATTGGCAAGCTCACGCCGCACCCTGCCGTAAATACGATACACGCCGCAAGGGATGCCGATTGGGCGAAACCCCCCAAGAGGCTTAGAGAGGAGAGCCATGATGATGAGAGCTAGTTGCATGGGAACGAGAGCGGCACGCTCCATAACCATAAGGATATCGCAGATCGCCTGCAAACTACTGTCGCCTAGCATCCAGAAGTGCTTCATGTGGAAACCGTCCACGGAGACAGCGGTGTTTTCCCGAAAACCTTTCGAGACGGTGCGGATCTGGTCTGGGGTGATGGGGGGCAGAGGGGGGCTGAGGACCCCATGGGGCATCCATGGTCGCTGAGTGCAATCCTCCCATAACTCCGAAAACGCGCACTTTCAGCCCTCAGCAATGAAAGGGGATCCGCAACGACGACTCCTTGGTCAGAGAGCGTAGTCGTTGGCTTCCACGGCGTGGCCCCCTTGGAGACCAGGTGGATCCGTTTAGCCCCCCTGTCAGCTCGGTGCATCAGCCAATCTCGCCACTCCTGACCAAGGGCTCCCACGAGGGCGCGAAGTTATTCGCGCTTCGCGCTTCGCGGTCCTCGTTCCTTCTCCCCCTCCTCCTCGTCCTCCTATTCTCCCTTTGGGAGGGCGGCGCGAGAGCGCGAAGTTATTCGCGCTTCGCGCTTCGCGCAGCGCGAAGCGCGAAGTTGGGAGCCCTAGCGCTCTCCTGCACTGAGGAGGTCGCCGTAGCCAGCAGGAGCCGCCCCGCCGAGGAACGTTTTCGTGTGAGCCGCAACGTCCAGCAGGCCAGCGCGAAAATGGGTGGGATCGGCGGCAATCGCAGGAGCCAAGCCAGCGGCAGGAGC